AAATTGATTCGCTATCGTTTCTAAGTAGGTTTGCTAGATTAGTTCTTGCAAGTGTTTGCGTGGTTGCAGCAAGTTTCTGCTGCAGCAGCGAAGCAGTTGCTTGAGTTGTTTCTCTCACTAGTGGGCCTTAGGGGAGTCAGTCTGGTGTTTAGCTGTGTTCAGAACCACAAAGCAGTCACATTTACAAACAAACTTTCAAGTAGCAAGACCTGTGATGATGAGTATGGTTGCTGCTATCTTGGGTCCATCACTAGGGTGTTGGTTGTTATCTGGTCTTTCATGCTCTAACTTAAACCCAAAGCCAAACCCCCGGCAATGAAGAAACTTGGCATGCAGAAGAAAGGAGATAATGCATCAGGAGACGCCAAGACGAAGGCTGGGGAGGGAGGCCTTGGCGCTGACGAAGAGGCTGAAGGCGGAAAGAAGAAGACAACGAAGGGCGACCAGGCCAAGAAGCCAGGGAAGAAGACGAAAGAAGCCTCTGACTCTGAGAAAGAGCCTGCGGCGAAGGCCTCGAAGAAGAAAGCGAAGAAGACTGCAGCAGAAGACTCTGACGGCGACTGGGAGCCCCCGGCGAAGAAACAGAAGAAGGCAGAGGCCAAGCCGAAGGCCAAGGGAGGAGCGAAGCCATCATCTAGCAGTAGCACGGCAACTCCAGTCCCCGCGCCGCAGCAGTCAGTCCACACTGGGCAGGGCAAGTCCCTCAAGTTAAGGCTTGAGTGAAGAAATTCATCTCCACCAGCTTTGTTTCTGCTTTCGTTAGTTTTACTATTGGCGTGGCTGGGTGGGTTGGTGGTGAGGTGAATGGCTTCAAAAGTTTCGCTTTTTCTAATCTATGAGGTGCTGGGCCAGATGTCGATGTGCGACTCTGACGACGAGGATTCTGAATCTTCATAAAGGGCTCCGGCTCGCTTATTGGGGATGCTATTGTGCCGACTAGTTTGGAGCTTGAGCTGGGTGAAGTGACTTTGCTACCTTGCATTGATTGCAGGAGTTCAGGCTTACGCACCAGTTGGCTATACTCTAGCTTGCTACGCTTCAACCAAAGATAAAAGTAGAGACGTTACCTCACAAACTTCAAACTCAACGCTGACCGTGCTAGTCTCTCTTGCTTGCTAACTAAGTTAAAACGTACTAAGACTAACTACCTTGCTTGTTAATTCTACTCCTCACTCATTAACGCCTATGCTGAAGGTGACCAGTTAGAGCCAATAGCTCTCAAGTGAGGATAACTCCAATCAATTAATTACCGCAATCGCAACACAAAAATCAAGAAATCACATTCGCAAAAGTCAAAAAATCTTATTCGCAAAAAATATATATTCAGCCATATTATATCTGACATTTAGATAAATAACGCAAGCATTTACTTTTAATTTTAACATACTGCAACTTGCAACGAAGTCGATATCTATCAACTACTTGCCCGCTCTCATCTCTTACGTCTAAGTGATGTGAGTAGCTCGGTCTTGGTCTAAAAATGGTTTATACTCGTAGAGGCGGGCTCTGAGTGGTCTTCTCTAGAAGATGCTCGCAACCAGATCCATGCGACTCTCCTCATTCTTTTTAATCTACACGAAAGTTTTATTTGGGGTTTTCATTCATTCTGCGTTTGGGCTTTTTTTACAAAACCCGCTGCATACTAGCTTGTCTGTGTGACTGATCACCGGGCAATGCTACTACTATTACTTTGCATATAAATACTTGAGTGGGCAAATGAATGAGCGAACTACTTGAGTACATCCGCGCTGGCTTTTTATAATATATTGATTCAAAATGACTGAGAAAAATCAAGAATGCTACCTATTTCGTAGAAAGATGAACGATAGACTGCCCCATCTATGTGACTACGTTCGCCGGGTATATTTTGGCACTGCCGCGGCGCGCACTGAGTAGAAGCCTGCTGGGCGATTGTCGTCGAAGGAATATTCGCACCATCGTAGTATGTGCATGTAGCTTCTGGGGAGTAATTTCTTTTGTGTTTGCGCCAGCCACTGCATGGCTGACTATCTAACTAGCTATCTACTTGGTTATAAACAACCAGCTTGCGCTTGGGCTTGCAATAGTTTTAATGTAATACGCTTCGACGAAAGAAACAAGGGCAGGACGCTACCAACTGTTAGTTGATTGAACAAAGCCAGGGGCAGACGTGAGAAGACTAAGGAAAATCGACGCAACGTGTGAACTTTGTGAATGGATGAATATGCAGGGTCTAAGTTATTGAGCTCCGTTTGAGCGTAGCACTTTTTTGTCTCCACTCAGTCAGTCAGAAAGTTTGAGCTTGTCAAGCAAACCACGCGAGGCCATTGGCAGCGACTGACTTGTCGTGGAATCGAGAGAGACGCGCAGAACCAACCAAGAACAAGGAAGAGGACACGTGAGGGATGAATCAATTCGGTAGGAGCGAGATTTGGCAGGCGAGAGCTATGTGGTGGTGGTGGAGTGAGGATGGTTTGAGAGAATAGAGTCGCGCACTCCAGCAGATTGGCGTGGAGTGGGAGTGAGGCTGCAAAGCACAGCGCACAAAGCCAAAACGTCAGTCATCAATCACACGAGAGGCGGGATATCTTAGATAAATTCCTGACGACTAGACTAGTGAGTGCTTGGAAATAGACTGACTGGAAAGAACATGCGCGAGCAAAGTTTCTCTCACCTAGCGCCTACGCATCCATGCTAGTGTGAGCATCCGCGCTCGATCGTTTGGCGTTGCGTCAACCTTGGTCATTCTATCCCACTCGTTTCAAAGCGGAAGCTAGCAAGGGTGGCAGCTCGCAACTGGCTGCAGGCGTTGAAGCTAAAAGAGTCAAGGCTACTCCATCTTTGTGAAAGGGGATCGGCAATCCGGCTGGAGGTGCTGCATAGCTGAGAAAGGATTTGCGCATCGTCGCCGTTGGTTTGGATTTTTCTTATGGCTCACTCTTGGCATTTTTGATTATTGTCAGTCAGTCTTTCTGTTTGTCCGTCTGTCTGAGACGGGCCACAGCTACCGCTATTATAGACGTAGCGCCTATAATATTGGTTGGCTACTGATGAATCAATCTGATTAGTAGCCAAGTCATACCTTTCAACTAATTGGGTAAGTCAATTAATGCCAATAAGTGCACTATTATTAGTTACAGCTTTGGTATACAAGCAACTGCTTGTATACCAAAATTTTCGGAAATGAATGCAATAAATATGAGCGGGGGCATTGTTATCAAACTCCAGCACTCGACTAAAAACGCCACTCCTTCGGGATAGCGGTCAACTAATGACGAAGATCCTAAAACTTCCTTGATGGTGGTTAATTAATGGCTAGGGTTTTGTCAAAGGAAGTTCCTTTGGCGAAGTTTGTTTCAGAAAGTTTCTGAAAGGAAAGAGTGAAAGTCTCACTCTTTCACTCTTTCAATGCGTGAGTTTTCTTATCCCTCATTCTTCTTCAAGAGTCTTGGGCTCATTCAGTAACTCTCTCTGGTCATGCTTAGACTAAGGCGCTTTCTCCTTAAAATGCAACAAAAGTGGGCCATGGTCTAAGTAATAGAAGCGCTAACAAACTTGAGCGGAGTTGCAGGCCAGGAAGACAGGCGCACACTTCTGAAGAGTTAAAGGAGAAGCAGGAGGCTAACGTAGCTGCAGCGCGAGGGGAGTACCCAAGAAAGCAGGCGAGAAGAGTTAAGCTTCTTACTTTTGAATGCGCTGAGCCAGCAAGCCAGGCTGCTATCAACCATCTACTTCAGCGTAACTATCTACCTACTCACCTAGCTAGCTAGACTAGAGAAAACACCGAAGAAGTAACTTATTACTACAAGAAGAAACTGACGCCCAAGGTATTTACTCTCCCCGTCAGAAGAAGAAGCATCTAGCGACCCACCTCGTAGTAGAGCTCCGTCGCGTCTATTCTAACCAGCACTAAGAGGGGGCGGCTGTGGACTCGAGCTGGAAAGAGCGCGCTGAACCTTATGGCCGCGGCAGTGGGTGTAATTCTAATTCTGTGGGTTAGTTTATGATTAGAAAGTGGATCCGTCCAGCCTTGACTGAAAGAATATAGGCCAGAAGTTGGGACGCAAATGCCACGCAATTAATTACAAAGACAGGGGCCCGCTAACAGTGGGGCGCGGCTACGTGGTTTGGCCTCTGTCACCATACAGGGGAAGGGGGTGATAACCTTTGGGAACTACTCTGCTCCATTTATGAATCTATCGCCCTCAGCAGGCTGCTAGGTGCAAAGGCTTGCTTGTTGCGGGGCAGTAGGTAAGTGACTCAGTAGCTGGTGGGTAGTATGCTAACTCATTCAGTGGCGCCCTAATGTGCGGCACCTCTTGGGGCTGAGCGCGATCCAAGTGGTGCGTATGCTTAGAGGGTGACCCTGACCCGTCTACTGTAGGCGCGCTATGTAGGTAGCTTCAGCTTGTTACAGCGCCCTTTTTTATAGCAAGGGTGGAGCTTGCTATAAAAGAAAAGTCGCCGTCTGACGATCAAACTCAAACAAAGAAGGGAAGAGCCTAGCGGCTTCCCTTTCAGGTCTATCGGGTAGAAAAGTCTAGAATCTATCGACCTTCATTGTGTATCAGTGAATCTTCCCGAATACATAGGATCCCCGATCTGTCACCTCTTTCTTGTGAGTGACAGACTGAGGCGCTTGAATGACTGCACTCCAATGGGTCAGCAGGTCTATCAGTATATGGGCTCAGTTCTCTTCAGGTCTATCAATTTGAATGTGCTGAATTTAAATCAAAAAGTAGAGAAAGGGGGACAGAATAAAACTCGCAAGGAATGAGGCCCAGCGAATGAAGAAGCTCAGCAAATCCATATAGGTGAAATGTACTACGTAGAAGGGTAGAATACAATAGCCAAGGTCGAAGAATGGCGAGAGATCGCGAATCATGAACTATGGTGGGCTCGTGGTACGCGTAAAATAAAGGTCCAGGGAGGTCCTCTCCCTCTCTTGCTATCACTTTCGTCGGCTCTCTAATTTACTGAAATACCCGGCCGAAGAAGCGATGGCGTTCCAGATCTTGAACTTGGAGGAGGCTCTGGCGTTCTTGGCTGTCTGTTTTGATTAAGAAAGGCTGGCCCGTGCGGCGCTACTTATCAATCTTCTGGCCCGTATCCTTGAAGCTTGCAAGGAGCTTCACTAAGGACGAGCAGCGAGGTCGATCACTTAGTGTTAATCCATTGCAGGAGTTGGCCAGTTTTTCGCTTATTTCCTAAATATATTATATTTTTCTAATTATCTAAATATATATTAATTATATTTTTCTAACTATGAAAAAAATAAAATGCATGAGTGACTGAGTGAGTGACTGAGTAAGTTAGTAGATTAATATGAATATAAACAAGCAAGGAAGAAGCATAGACATAGAAGGAAAGAACTTGCTCGATGTTTATACTATACTCATCCGTCGCATTTATTAACTTACACAGCCGGCTGGGCAAAGAATGAAATGGCTCAGGTTACGAACAGCATCGCGCCACCAAATCCGGGTAAGAAATTGAATATAAATTAAATAAAAACTGCATGAAACCACATCTTTTCTCTACTTTGGAAGTGACCACTCTCCCTTGCTTATGCTCGGGCTGAACTGGAGGAAGGCGGGAGCGTCCCAGACAACACCTTGACAGTGGCCTTTTTTTGCATGTCTTTGTGGTGTTGGTTTGGGTTTAGTCGCTAGTTAACTTGTGTCACCAATGATTGAGTTTTTCCTTCAAACTAGATGAGTAACACGGCAGTCATTTATTGCAACAATCAAACACTTCTTCAAACCTTTCTCCCAACCAAGTACTTAGACTGGTCGTGGCAGCATCAACTAGCACATCGAGGCCAAATTTGTCCAAGTAGCTCTCCGCGCTGAGAATATGAAACACGTGCTGCCCTTTTTCCTCTGCCTCTTACAACTCTTCACCCTCTGCTTTTGAAGTTGACGGACACCGGTATTCCACGCGGGAGCAGCTTGCTGGGGATGTGGCGAGGAACATGATGATTGAGGAAGTTGCCTTGCCAGGAGCAAGGTCGACCTTTTTGGAATATTCTAATACAGACCTCGCGGCAGGCTCTGTGACAACAGGAAAATAGATCTATGATGGCGCAAGTGCTCCACCGCAGTGCAGTTCTTTCGTGTTTATCTCATATGAATCGCGCGAAGGTCAGGGCCGTAGTGCTCGAGTAAGAAACTATACTGAAGTATCAGAATAAGGCGGCGCCTGCATGATTGTGATTAGATGTCTCGGATTTCGTCTCGGACGGTGTTCCCACTTGAATCGTGTCACTTCGATCGTTTTTTAGAGTCGTTGCATCTAAGCTGAGGCGTATGGTGTTTCGACGATGTCGAAAGATTTGGCGACAAGATCGTTGGGTGAGGTCTCCGTTTGAGATGATATGAAAAGAGGTAGCCGGCCTCGGAGTAAGGTTGCCTGACTGAATGAGACAAATCCACTCAGTTTTTTATTTTGGGAATAGAGACGAGCGAACTCGAAGGTCAAGACGTATTTGAATTTTTTGAATAACGAGCAATCTTGTCGTGATGCTAGTAAGGTGAGACGTCGCGCGCTGCTTCGCAGGAGATGCACCAGCATACAATCACGACCAAGAATTGCACGCTGTCTCATAGGTCGTCCTTATATAACAGCGTCTCATATTGATTGCTCTCAGCCGTTTGACTTTTGATTCCTAGGCGCAACGAATCATAGCCATAAAAGGCAGAAGCACCTAAAAAATCCATCTTCACGACATTGGTAGCCGATTTTAAAGAGAGGGATCTGGATCCAATCGCGACCATTAGCTACGCACTTGGCTAAAGATATTTGATCATAAGAAAATAACTCAAAATCGTGATACACGGGCCACGACCAGAATCATCCAAAATGTCGTCCCTCTTCTATGCGAGCCTTTCGATGCACAAGTCGTACTCGCTCAAAAGAAACGACAAGCCGCGTGTGGGACGCGGAGGCCGTTCACTAGCTAAAAATGGGTGCGTCGATATGGACATGGAGGTCCTTTCCATCAAAAACCCCAAGCAGACGGGCATGAAGAAAATGATGGCTATGAAGAAGAGTATGTCTATGAAGACGAGCAGCTTCAAGATGCACAGCATGAAAATGAAAATGAAGAAGATGCAGAACATGAAAAAGATGGCTATGAAGAAGTCGCCCATGAAGAAGTCGGGGGGAAAGTTTCAGCCCCCATCTCCACCGCCACCGCCGAAAAAACACTACTCGCGCAAGGTATTGCCTCTTTTTCTCGAATGCTCCAAGATCAATGGGGACGTCGGTCCTTGCTTGCTCTTTTTTTGTAGAATGAGTCCGCTGCTCTATCGTTACAAACTACCTTCACGCTTTCAACATGCCTCCACGTTTCGCCATCTACTCCTCCCACTTCACATGATCGCCCGGGATAGAATTTATCTTCACACGCTTTACCACACTGCCAGGCTCCCTCCAGCTCCAGCACGAAAACAGCGACCAAGAAGAGCGAGGCTTTGACAAAGGCAAAAACTCAGACCAAGCCGAAAACCGCCACCAAGGTTAAGAAAGAGAGCTCCGCGACGGAAGTGCGCCGCAAGCCCGTACTCTTTCATATTTTTTGACGTTATGCTTATGCTGGACCACATGCAAGTAGCTCCTCCTCTCGTATCAATTCCGGAGTCTGTTTATAATGTTGGTGACCTCTTTCTCTGGTATATGACAATCGTTGAATCAAGAACTTCTGACATTGGGCTTATGGCCTTCAGCTCAGACCTGACGCCTTCATCTTGATTCACGATCACACTATAGGTCCCTTCCAGCACGAAAACAGCGACCAAGAAGAGCGAGGTTTTGACAAAGGCAAAAACTCAGACCAAGCCGAAAACCGACACCAAGGCTAAGAAAGAGAGCGCCGCGACGGAGGTGCGCCGCAAGACAGTACTTTTTCATATCTTTAGACGTTATGCTTATGCTGGACCACAAGGAAGTAGCTCCTAGTACTCTCATGCCAGTTCCGGAGTCTATTTATAATGTTGGGGACCTCTTTCTCTGGTATACGATAAGCTCGAACTTCTTCTGACCTTGGGCTTCTGAGCTTCAGACTCGATTCATCTTTCTTGGTTCACCACACTGCCAGGCTCCTGCCAGTACGACAACAGCGACCAAGACTAAGGCTTTGACGAAGGCAAATAAAACTCAGACCAAGCCGAAAACCAAGGCTGTGAAGAAGAGCACCGAGACGAAGAAGCGCCGCAAATCAGTACTTTTCCTTCTTTTCAGAAGTTATATCTATAGCTGACCAAGCAGAAGTAGCTCGTTCCATGTTGGACCACGCGACCCTATGCCCGCGAGCCAGGCTGATGGTGCGCTAGTCTCTGAAGTAAACGCTTCAAAACCTGACTAGCGCATCGCCGCCGGCGATGTAACCGCGGAGCCGGCTTCTACGAGCCCGCTTGTGGCTGCTGGCGCCGGCTTAGCAGTAATTTGATTTGCGTCGCGTCGCGCCAAGTCCACCGTTAGGAGGGACCCACGGTTCTGAAGATTCTACGTAAATTCATCTAATCTCTCTGACTTCACAAACAAGGACAGCGACAAGGTCGCTTTGAAATTATCCACTTTGAAAACCCCTTAACACGCTACAAGAATGAATCTCGTCGCCCAATATACAAATAAGGTGTGAAGCAAGCGAAGCACTTTTCGACGAGTGGAGATTTGGGGAAGAGCTTCCCGCGCTGTTTGCGATGGGTGGGCGAAGTTCTTGCTGGAGACGGAGCTTTACATGTTGGGCGGAGATTTGAGCTCGTGTTGTTTCGAGTTCGAAGTGGTAGGATAATTGAAAGTGGTACTTCAGGACGACTCACGAACGTACGTAAGACTTTCTCTTTGATAAATTTAACTATTGTTCGCTCCTCGTGTGAGGTTCGTTTGAGTTCGTCAATTTTTATTATGAATTGTGTTGAAGTGTAGCCCCACTGATGCAGTGCTGGCCTGTATTTCGATTTAGGATAAAGAAGCACTTTATTTGTCAAAATTAGCCGTAGTTATCTCCGATTCGTCACGCTTCTCTGAAGATATCGATTTAGATCCAATCGCACTAGCAGTTCTTGGTCATCAAGTGTTTCGCCATCTCGTAAAATATTAGTAGCAGGACTTCGCTTCGTGAATGATAAAGCTGTCCTCTTACGCAGCAGCTAGATTATAACTTTTTGCATATCACTAAAGCATTGCCAGTAATTGACATTAGCGAAGAAGTGTAACGTTCTCGATATGCGTTCCCCGATGCAGTACTAGGCTCGACAGCACTTACCGCTAGGCTATAGCTTTAGAGGATGCTAATGCTAGAAGCTCCTGCCTGCTCAGCCTCAGCTCCACACTTCGACGAGGAGCAGCATCGTAAAAATTTCACTCCGTGTGGGTTCCTCATGATACGCGGGTGACTCCGCATCATGTGGGCATAGTTTTAGTTTTGACCTCTTCATATCGGAATCCTTCAAGATCCCTCACAAGTCGAGCTGCTTCAAAACTTGCACAATCCCGGTCCTATACTAGATGCATCACGATAGCCATAACTTCGCTTGATTCTAGGACTTTTTGTCATACGGAATGAACCTCCCCGCATTCGCTCTCAACTTCTTCCCCGAGGAAGCATGTATTAAGCAGATAAAGCGTCCCCGCTATTCATGGTTGTCATGAAATAAATAGACCCTTCTTGCACTCCGTCTTGTTTCTCAGGAGATACCTTTTGACGTGCACGCGTCGACTTGTCATGATTTGACTATAAGGCGTTATAGGCTGTCTTTGAACGCAGCAGGTAGCCCCAGCTGGAAAGCAGGCTGCTTCTTGATGAGTCGAGACTCTGAGCAATCGTCGAAGATTCTGCTCTGCTGGTGCTCCACCGTCGAAGTGGTGGCTCTTGAGTGTCGTCGTGGCGGAAGAGAGACTTCCCCCAGAGAGAAGAAACACCTTAGATTCACCTGCCCGCTTTCGAGAAGAAACAAAGTGAGAAGTTCCTGATAGACGGAAAAAATAAGGATAAGAAAATGTAAAGCGAGCGAGAGCAGTGCCCGCATCAGGAGCAAACCCTGAAGAGCACGCTGTTGAGATATCGTCGCCAGAAAATGAAGCTGACGAATACAGAGCACGAATTGCACGACTACAACAATGAAGGTGGAAAAATGTCCACCAAAAATGAAAGTAAGCTCTTAATGAACTGCGCGGCTAATAGGCTATTTGGATGCTCGCTCCAAAAGCAGTTAATGCTTCGAGATAGTTGAGGTATTAGTGACTCCGCAGAAGCTCGTGGCTATTGGATTACTTCTGTCAACTTTATAAGGCGCTCACCTGGGGCACAGACAGCTTCTCCATATGTAGAGCGCTGCTGCGTATTATAATTTCTAACGATGGGCTCTATTCTTGATAAAGGTATCTCGCTTCACAAGAAAATGGCCTGCGACTCGCATGAGCTGAACGTGCCTAGACGTGGCACACTGTCAGGCTGCAGCTCTCGAAAATGGCGCCTAGCTCGCTTTGTCGATAGCGAGTAGTCTTTTTCAGTTGAAGGGCAGGCTTCTTCATCATGAGTAGCAGCAGCGGAACAAGAGGACTAGCACGCGCGGGCGTGTCCACGTGGGCCGACCTCATGACGCATGGAGACTACATGGAGAAAAGGCGCGGTAGTAGAAACAAGCGTCCACGTGTCGCGTCCGCAGATGCGCGCATGGAGCAGACCATCTTCGACATGCCAGCAGTCAGGCCGAGGAATGAAGGGTCGGCTGCTGGTCTAGCCGAATCATCGGAGTTTGCGGAGATTCGAAAGCAGAAAGGAATCCGGGTCCAGTTTGATTTGGTTGCTCCGAAGAAGCCAAGCAAAAAACGAAGAGGTCGCAGCGGAGCGCTTCCCGGAAAGGGTCAGAAGCTTGGGACCGATGACCAAAGCAGTTCAATGTCTACAACTCTTAATAGCTACTCGGATATGCGAAACATCAACGCTTCAGCGGGTTCCGCGTCAGCAGCAGCGGTTGGCGAGAGTGTGCTTTCTCGCGGGCGTTCGCGAATAGAGAAGACAGTCGATGGATCAATGCGCATAGGCCATCCGCAGGCAACAAATTTTAGTAATGTGTTTTCAGCGGTTGGCCCGAGTAGGTTGATTGGAGCTCCTACGCTTCGCGGCAACGAGTATCAGGCTGATTTTTCTAGTGCGGTAGTATCGTCTATGAGCAGTGGGGTTGGAAGAGCAGGCGACCCTTCGGAGACTTCGACATGTACTGCGGAAGAGGCGGCTCAACGTCGTGCAGACGAGAGTGCTCGGCAGTATTTTGCTGGCTCTTATCCAAGCAATGACTCCGAGCGAACCGAGCTTGCAAAGATCAACTGCGCTGCGCACATGGCTCTAGATGAAGAGCAATCTCGTTTAATCCAGGGTACAGAAGTGATGGGTGTATATCTTGCCGGCGACTGCACTGATCTTGGGACGCGGAAGTTTATACCCGGCACAGGTAAAGACGGACCTATCTTGTGACTCACAGACTTTCCACTTTCGTTTACTTGTAGTGATTTCCTGTATACTCTCTTGTCACCACTCCAACGAAGAGTATACTTTTTAGGGAATTGACTCAACTAGAAGAACTTCCTCTCCCTCACTCCCAACAACCTACACTCGCAAACCCAACCAACACGTCGCTTCCTCACTCGCGGCTGACTCGTTGCAGTTCTGATCTGGGTACGCAGAGAGATCTGATCAGCACTGATTTCTTGTGTCAGCAATCATTCAGTGCTGTCAAGAAGAAACCAAGTTCTCACGCTCGCAAAATCATAGGCGTTGACGGTCGCGTATCCACCATCGCGCAGCGGAGCGATAGCGCACTCGCTAGGCGGGCTGACGTAGTTGCAGGATTCGTTGCAGACTTCAAAGGCAGTCGCCCGGCAGGGAACGTTGCTAACTCCGGACTTGATGGACCGTCTGCAAAGGATGAGACGCGCATAGGCGTAAAAGGAAGCAAGACCGATGACGAAAGTAGAGCTGCAGCCTCAGCGGCAATAGGCGGCGCGCTGGCGGTAGACAGTGCCGAACAACTCTGGGGTGGCCCGCATGCACAAGCGGATCAAGGAGATGAAATTGCGGGCGTTGCAATGGGAACTCCGGCAAATCCTCACTCCGGGAAGGCGTCGTCGTCACGATCAAACGCTAGTAGTAGAGGTTCTGAGATAGCGCGGCAGGCTGCAGGCTCGAAGCTTCTCGGTCACAGCGGCGCTGCCGCGCGTGCACTCAATCCCGAAGCCAGGCAGCATGGTAGTGAAAATGCAGCAGATACTAGTACTACTCTCTTTGCGAACTCGAGGCAAGACAAGCACGCTGCGCCGCGATCGCAGAGCTGTAGCAAGTTCGAACAGGCTTTCGTCGAAAGGCGCGCGTTTGCGGACGCGCGGGATAAAGCGGAGCGTTCTGGGGAGGCTAACGCGGGTGGGAAGAGCGGTTATCCAGTTTTTTTCGCTGGAGGGGTAGCGGAGTCGCAGAGTATTGTCGATCGGAAGAACAAGTACATAGGAGTTATTTCGTCGCTAACTCCACTGCAGTACGTCTTTAAGCCTGGCGATGGTCTAGCTCATGTAAAGCATCTGGATTGGCAGGAGGTGACGCGCGCTCATCCATTAGCATCGCTTACGCCATCGATCAATTCGCGAGATGGCGAAGACATGGACGCGGCTGAGAAGCTCGAGGAGCAGAAATATGCACACGCGGTTCACCGTGGGCTTCTAGAAGACTCCGAAAATGTCAAAGTAGCAACGTACATGATCGGAATACTCTCTTCGATGATAGCAGCGGCAGCTGATCGTGAAAATGGTAGCAAATGCAAGGAACTTCACATAGCGTTAGCTGTCGATCGGGGTGCACTTCCCGCGTTGTTTTTCGCATCAGCATGGGTGGACCATATGCAGCAACATCTTCAACGCAGCGGATCAGATTTGCGCATCACCCTTACTATCATTTGGTGCAAGATGCACGCGTTGGCCACCGGGTACCACGAGTCTGTGCAGCGAGCGGCCGCATTCTTGGGATGGAATAACGCACAGCTAGAGCAGGCTGCTCGGCTATGGGTTGCTGCGATTCGGAACCGATTGCATCCACCATTTACTCTCAGATCAGTGCTGTTTTTCGACAGGCGTCTTGCGTGCTGTCCATCTAGACGTAGAAGCGAGTATGTTAATTGACAGACCAGCACTCAGTGACGGCGTCAGTCTGCCGCGTGAAAGTGGTTCTTCTACCTTTGTCATTAGGTGAAAGCTAGCTTTTCGCTGCCACGTCTGCGTCTGATGTTGATACCTCGCTACCCACTCCAGTACACCTTACTCTACCTTGAGTTCTTTCTAGCTTCAATACTGCTCCCACTTCAACACCAAGGTTTCCTATTCTCGGGCAGATTCTGCAGACTACTCCAATGGACATAGGGCCTCACCATGAGGCAGAGCTGATTGCCGGCAGCGCGGAAGAGGAGATGCGATTTCACAGGTTTTACGAGACTCCCTGGATGGATACAGGATTCAAATTCGCGGCGCTCCGTCCACATATTAGTCGGCAGGTTTTAGCTTCGCAGGGATCTTCTGTCTCGGTGCAGGAGGCATATCAGCGCGCTGGTGATTCGGATGACCTCCTTGCTTCTAACCTCGATTTGGCATGTCCTGGCTCGACAGTGATCTCGGAGAACTCAGATCGAAAAGATCAGGCAGCACAGACGAAGACGTCGAATCACAAGGGGAAATCCCGCCCAAAAGCTGCAGCAGCCGAATGGAAGAGCAGCGAGACGGGAAACGCTTTTCAAATCGTGCCCCGTGTGATCCGCATACATGGTAATGTAGTTTCATTCTAATGAGTTAGCTGATCTGTCTGCTCATGAGATGGCTCGCGCTCCCATCTAGACGAGAATGCAACTTACTCACTTGTCGCTCGGTGGAGCAGTCGCGTTTCAGTTAGAAACTTTCTAAGTGTGATGGCAAGACGTAGTGCTTACTCTTGATCCCCTTCCGACTCACTCTTCTTTTGTACTAGTTGTTCATGTGGTTGTAGTCGTCACCTCGCTAATATTCTCTTCACATCATCCTTTCCAGATTCTGTACCGTCCGAATGCATTGACCTCGCCATCGATGAACAGGGGCAGAAATTAAGCGAGATACTGCGATCAAAGCGATGGGAGAAGCCGACAAGTACGCGCTGGCTGCGCTTCGCCATGAATTTCTCTGCCATCGTGAGTCTCAACTACACTTGTTGCGACATTTTGCAGGCCGGCGCTCAGTACCACTGTGGTGACGGAGAGATGGCTCGCTTTCAACCTACGGACAAAGCAAAGCTGGGAGGTTTAGCTGTTGTCGGTCGAATTTGTGGATACCCTTTGAAGGGAGCAATGTCGCAGACAATGAAAACAGTGAAAGCAGCAGGCGCATCCTATCAGCTGGAGTTCGACAGACGGTGGCGTAGATCAGTCATGCGATTGGCTCGGATTGAGATCGACCTTTCTCTGGGAGCAGCGATCGTTCACGTGGAGCAGGTTGAATTACTACGCGTGGCCGCTGCCGTAGGGCTCCTGGTTGTGAAGGGATCGAATTGGCGCATCTTCTCATTCGATTGCACGCATCGTTTTATCTCCGAGTTCCAAGACGCTCGCGACGGGAAACTTGTATGGCTGAAAGAAATCATCGCTGCCAGCAGGGACGCAGTGCTTCGTCGATTCACCGCGCGGGAGGACTCCAGAGCATCTATTGTTGCTTTCTCTGCGTTGCTTGAGACGTTGCAGTCGGCTCTTGACGAGTCTCCAGCTGATGCTTTGAAGCTGCTAGAAAACATGTCTGTCTTCCGCGAGAACTGGACTGACACAACGATACCAGTCGAGCGCTTTTTTCGCATCCCAAAATATCTCCAGCGAAGATACAGGGAGGGGCACTGGCGTGGAACGCCGATGCTGTCAGCGAACAGCGTTGGGACCTACTTTTCGCGTATTGCTGCATCTGCTCTGCATGTGATTTCGAAACTCAAGCGAGAAGAAGGAAAGCTAGGTCGTACAGTCACACGACATCACGCTCGGCCACGTGGATACTACGAGTACCTGAGGCGGCATGGCTTTGGCGCCAAAAAGGGGTGGAGGAAGCTCACGAAGGAACAGCGGCTGGACTATCGGAGAAAAGCGATTCACCGTCACGCAGAAAGGCGAGCGTCGAAGGAAGAAGCCCTGACGAAGTTGTGGGCACATCGAAAAGCCGGCGCAGGAGCAATTGAAGACGCAGAGAGAATTCTCAGCCGCCTGCGCGAACTACAGAGGCGGACGTCCCAACTGCGACAAAAAGTGCTCGTTTCACGGGAGGCGTCGCGAGCTCTAGGAGCTGTTCTGGTGGACATCAACCGAGATTTTGCATTCCCGCACTCGGCAGGGCATTACTTGGGAGCGTGCGCCCAGCGTTGCTTCGACTTGGAAAAGGATAACCCGACTCCACAGCAGCTAGTAGGCGTGATCTATCGCATGGCTGCAGACTGCAAGAAGATACAACTGAAGCTGAGAAAGAAAGAAAGCGAACGACTGCAGCGGGAGTCTCTGGTGAGCAACACCAGTGGCAGCGGAAAAGCAGCATCGAGTTCGAGCAGTCGCGCGAAGTCCACAAGTGGGCGACCAAATCAGGCTACGAAGACTCAAAAAGGCGTCGTAGCAGGATCGTCCCAAGCAGCCAAAAGCGGATCTTCATCCTCTCGCGCAGACGGTATCGACGAGCAGAAGCTGGATCTGGTAAAGGCAAAACAAGAAGAGCTGAAGAAGCGTAGAGCGGCGGTGGCTGAAGCGGCGTGGGACCTCGCGCATCGCTTGCACTACGAGCAGCTTGAGGCCTTCAAAGATTTTGGGAAGAAGTTGATTATCATGGCTTACAGACCCAGTGGCCGAGAAGCTGAGAATGCGACGTTTCTTGTGGCGTGGTACAAAGCGAACCCGGATAGAGTAATGTTCTGTAGAATCGATACGCCGACAGAACGGGAAGGAGAGAGCTTTGTTCTTCGCACGGCAGCCAAGAATGCCAGTAGCGCGACGAACGTGTGTCCTGGCGCCTACACCTTCGACGAGCAAAGTATCAAGGACCTGCAACGAGACGAAGAAAGTGAAGTCTTCGTTTTGGATCTTCTACGTAGTACCGCCGAGGCCTCGTGGATCCGCGGTTCAGCTGATTCAATGTCTAGGATGCGGGTGGAGGATCTATCGTTCTACTTAGCTGCGCCAGCAGTAGCTCTCGTGCCACTCTCGAGGAGAACAGAGTCTACCACGCGTGAGGAAGTGGAACGTGATGAATCTGATTCGGAGGTCGCAGTGGAGGACGCGCGTTCGTCAGTCAGGATGGTTTTTCATGATCTACAGCTGATAACATTATCGCAGCTTGGAGCGCAGCGTAAAACTCCGGAGCAGAAACAGACAGAGAGAATGCGACATGTGCACGAAATACGAGCCACAGCAGTTCTTCGAAAGGGGCGCAAGGGTCGAGATCGGAAGGTGCGTAAGATCTTTTCAGCACTAGAGCGCGCTCATAAGATCATCAAACAACGCGAGGAAGCAGAACGGAGGATGCGCGATGAAGCAGGAGATGCCGTGGCACGTCATGGAGGAGCCGGCTTGCTGCCGAGCCAGAACGAGTTTGGGATATTGGAGCTCCAGCCTGTAAGTGGCGCATCGGATCGTCTCGCAGGGCAGCCTGCGCACCCGTTGAAGCGCGTGCTTGCTCCATCGACTGCCGCTATCTCAGGAAACGCGATCGAAGCGGCGAGTGGCGGCCTTCCAAGCGACGGCATGGCGCGCAGCTTTCAAGTTCAACCGGGACAGGAATATGCGGCTTCCACTGCAGTAGCAGACGACGCGATGGGCTTGCAGGACGAGGAGAAGAGCGAGGCTTTTGAGTCAGTTTCAGCGCCTCCCTTCGCAGTTTCTGTTATACTGGAGGACGAGTTCCAGGATGGTGCTCGCCTTGTAGATGAGAACGTTGCGTCCGACAGCAAGGTGAAGGGATCGAAGAAGAACGTCGAAGGGCAGCGCGCTCTCCTTGCTGCAGCAATTGTTGGGTCAGACGATGAAGGAGAGGACATCGATCGTGAACTGTATGACCCTCATGATAATGCGTACGATGAGTTTCTGACTGAACGCGGCGAGCAGCCGACCGCTCCGGCAACCAGCTCGACTAGCCTGGCCCTCATGAGTCCGGCGTTGAGTGGGAAGGGGCCTTCCGCTGGTGCAGCGTCGATGTTGGGTGCGTCAAGCAGTTCTTCCTCGGTGACGCCGATACTCGGTCGCCCACTAGCAAGTGCTCAGGGTGCGACTTCATCTGGCGCGAGATCAAACGTTGGTGGAACCACTAGTGTTGACGTTGACGGACGGATTACTGGCCACGACGGGCCATCCGCGTCACCGGTCGTGCTAGTTCCAAGGACGCAAAAACACAAACTCGCAAGTGTTCCACAGAAGCGGCGCGGTCGATCGGAGGCGGCGAAAATGAGGAATCGGCCTCTAGTTGGGGACGATTTGAAGGCTTGGCAAGCTGCCAGCAAAGCGTTTTACGATACATTACCCAAGCCTGGCCATCCCGAGTGGCACATTGGGGCTGATCGCTTCACCTGGTCGACCTACAAACAAATGTGGCGCGAGCAGCAGCGTGTCGCTGCAACGTTCGTCGCGCATCCGATAGATGAAGACTGTGCTGAAGGGAAGCGCTACTACGAAGTTGCGGACGCGGACAACGGAGTTTATCTTTTACGCATACAGCCGAAATATAAGCAAAGACAGTTGAACTTCAAGACAGGGAGGCAGCTGCAGTGCAGGTACTAAACTGTTCTTGTTAGACGTCAAGACGTCAGTATGCTAGTGCTAGATAGGTCACTTCTGCACACTATCGGAACCAACGGGAAGGAGGAGGTCGTCGGGGACCGCTTTCAGGGCCACAGCCGCTGTGGCCGACGACTCAAGCGGACGCAGTGTGATTCGTCGGCTGCTTCGAACTCTCTCTTCGAGATCGAAGCAGTGGCGATGAGCGAATCGAGGCCAACGAAAACGATATCGTGATCGCGCTATGGGAGCTGAGTCCTAGCAATCTGCGAAGTTGAAACTTTTGTTTCTGCATTCCCGGCAAGAATTTTTCGCCTGTGTCTCCCCATGGCCACCAGTGCAGGGAGAACTCGCCTTCGCTTTAATGATCTGATTTCTGCTCCCGCGAAGTCACACACAAGGGGAACCTTCCGCCCCGCTTTGAAGGTGGTTAAAATTGTAGCTATATATCATCAAGTCAACCCCCTCGTGGAGTAGTCGTCATCTTCGTCGTTATTCTTTATCCAGCAAAATGCAATAAAGCTGGCACTCGCTCTCGATTGCACATCTTGGCCGACCTTGTCCTCACCAAATGACTCCAGGATGATCCTTGAGGCGCATGTTGCACGAGCACGGTTTATTTTGTCACGGTATCGGAAGAAGTTGAAGCAGAGAATGTCGCAGGAAAAGCGAGATGAGGTCAAGAATGAGTACGACAAGTGGATGCAGCCGGTTCTTACAGCAGCGAGAGGCATGGGCCTTACCAAGGCGGAAGATGCGAAGCTGAAGCAGTTTGCGCTGCTAACCGAGGACGATCTGGATTACCTATCTCCGATCATCCGGTTCCAACTGACCGCTGGCCGTCCCGACTATGAAAACATGGTAGGCAGTGTTGGCGTTTTAAACCCAAGCGACGAGGGAAACGCGCTTCCACCGGCACGCCGCGACCATCAAGACGAACTTGTGGAGTGCGATAGCGATGGCAGCGTGAAAAAGAAGAAGATGCCAGTGCAACCAAAAGCAAAGCCAAAAGCCACTCAGGCCCGTCAGAAATCAGGCAAGACGGTTGCTGCACCTCTCGAAGATTCGGATGGGGATGAAGTTGTCGGAAGCTCTGAGTCAGATGACCCAAAGACTTGACTGCTTTAAAAGTTCAGTTCGCTTTTTTGTGCCATGATTGTTTGCTGAGTACCATCCTAATATCTCAAGTCTTATCGATTATTCTACTCAGCATCTTGCACTAGGTAGCAGCATTGCACTGCTCTGCTCGAGCAGACAAGTAGGCCAAGAGGCTTCACCTTTCTCGGGCCGTAACAACTTCATAGATTAGACCAGTGCAGACTTACATGATCACGCCAGGCATTTTCCTATCTGCTCCGCACATTCACAGGCGGCACTCAAAACAGATCGCAATAGTTTAGACTTCGTTTCTTTTATGACCCAAGGACACTCCCACACCTACTGGAAAGTATGTAGGAAAGCAAGAGCAGCACGTGCAGAATTAACCAGCTGAACCGCTTCAATCTCTGCTGGCTTGCGATGTATTTTCTCGGAAGTGCTGGCGAACGGGAAGGCCTCGCAGGCTGCAGCTGCAGGAGCGCTTCGTTGCAGGGTGTCTGAGAGTGGATGGGCTTTGAAGAGTCCTACAGGCTATTTGGTTGTCGGGAGCTGGTGTCTCATCGAGATTCTGCGTTTCTCTGTACCTGAAGGAGCTTCTTTGACTCGAGTGCCCTTGTTGTTATGTGGATCGTTCTCCAATCAATCTAGTTGACTTTCATCGAGTAAAGAGGTGACTTGTGACACCGTCCTGCCACACCGTGTGGCAGCACGGTATCACAAAGAATGGCTTCCAGATCTCAGCATATCCGAGCTTGTATGTTTTTAAGGAGACCGAGTTCTGGTCTGCCATAGATAATACTCATACTCTCTTCTTCTAATGGGGATCCAGTCTGCCGTGGCAGTAGGAACGGGACAGAAGCTGCTCAGCTTTTTCTATACGCCACGAAACGCTCGGACAGAAGGACAGGGACAGAGTTCCTTAGTGTACACGAGCAAGTAGATAGCTTCAGACTCTAGTGCTTTCCATGTAGCAGCGATGTAGTTTCTTAACAATGAGCGATCAACCTAAATTATCAACGATAAGAAGAAAAAAGGATGGTCCACAGCATTGGCTGGACAAACATCTCCCAGAGCGTCCCATTACACATCCGGCACATCCAGCAGACCCTGATGGGTTTAGGTTTGAGGACCTCTCTGAGGTCGTAGAAGCCTGGGGAGACGACGACTCCGATTGGGAAGATGTGGCAGCCGCTCGAATGGAAGGCTACGGCGGCGGTGCAAGGGCTCGCGCGAGGCAGTTCCGAGATAAGGATGCTCCAATATCATTCTGCGAGCCAAGCCTGGCACTCACTGATCTACTCCAGCACGATGCGCTCGATACTCGCGATGGAGAATCCTGGCTAGCCCGCAAGGATCTACAGAGGTCGACGCTGCAGCGAAGTTTCGCTTGCATGTCAGATGTTCCTTTCGCTGAGGTCTTGCCATGCCCGTCGCTTAGGAGCGACATCGATCTCACAGGGCGACCAACGCGAGTAGGTGAAATCCCGCCGGATCTGGACCCCCTTGAAAGGGAGGTCCTCACACTAGTCGAGACCTGTCGCGTCATTCGCTGTCAATTGTGTGGGATCGTGAACAGTTTTGCGGCAGACCTCGACCTTCCGCCAGTTTTGGTCGGGTCGATGATGCACCTGCACTACGAGTTTGGTCTCGAGAACCAGAGTGGAGCGCACGATGGGCAGTTCTCATTCAGCTTGGAATTCCAGACGCGCCTTCGTGGGATGCAGAATTGGATGCTGAGACTACGAACCTTTTTCCGCGAGATCTGGTTACCATTGAGCGAGGCTATCCATGCACCGACCAGATTCATGAAGCTTCCTGAGCTGCTCTTAACGCGGCCATTTGTCTGGTCTGCGCCGGTTAGCGCAGGTGGTCATGGTTGGCAGCCATTTAGACACCGGGAAGTCGAAGTGCGGGAATTACTCGGCGAGTTGAGACAGAAACTTTTAGCCGGCTATATCGGGGGACCTATATGCGACTCTGTTCGCAACATGCATCGCTATGACCGCAAGAAGGCGGACGACTTTCATTCGCGCGTAACGCTCCATGGATATGAGAAAGCCTTTGTACTTAGCTTTTACTTGCATGGTTATTGTTGTTGGTGTCGAGTAGTTCGCTGAGCAGATGAACCATCATAATGCGTGGGCCCATTCCATGTTGACGGTTTGGGTCGGCCTCCCACTGAAAGGCAATTAGGTAGTTCTTGTAGCAGACGCTGCAATCACCACAATTCGTTTTGCCTTTTAGCTCGCAAAGAAGTCTTATTGGTTTGTGTTGCTCAGCAGCTAGAGACGCAATGGCCACCACTCCGTCCTTGGAGCACGGAAATTTCCACAATAATAATTACACTGGAGGCAGTCTCATTCTCATACCATCAACCCAGGCAGTCTGCGTTCCCGCAGTCCCAGACCCAACTCTTCCAAATCCAATCTCATGACCCCCACTCCTGTCCAAAATTCAAACTCAACGCCTATCCATCGTTCCTCCAGGAAACTGACGAAACGTTTATCAAAGAAGACGAATCGAGGGAGGCCTGGGAAGACTATCGAGACATGACAGATACGAAATTTTTCAAGGTGAATCGGGTGCACTTCATGATGCTGATGACTGCGGAGCGAGATGAAGAGGAGGTTCCGTATGCTATGCTCTACCGGCTGTTCTCGAAAAAGTACCATGCTCCACAGCACACCGCAGGCGAGGCGTCCACTGAAGTTCTGCTTCCGGAGTTAACCGAATTATGCTGGCGGCGTTTTTCTGGTCGTCCTCATGCTCTGCTACACGAGCATCGACGAGTCAAGGCACGAGCGAGACCATGGGACGTGCAAGATGCGGGTGACCTGCCGACCCACCTAGCGAAATGGGACTCCGGGCGCGATCATGGTCATGGGTACCCCTTGGAGCGCAGTCCTAGCGATTCCCCTAGGCATGGTGCTGGAACTCTCCGGAAACGGGGAAGAACCTCTTCTGGTTCTGACAGCGGGTGAGCTGCAACTCTTCTTGATGCCGTCAGTGCTTCGGGCAGCAGTCTTTGCTTAGGAAGCAGCGTCTATTCGTCGGCATCTAGGGTGGATCTTGTCTGTCACGTCACGCAGACAACTCGCGGTGCCGTGGCTTGCTGGGTGGTGAAGTCCCTCTGAGATGAACTTGACATCCGCAGTTCTTGTTCAGTGTTTTTATTAGCATGCTGCTTAGGAATGTGTCATTATGTTGGTCAAGACTCTGCTTCTTCGAATATGTTAGCAATCTGCCGATGAAAATCGCTACGACCTGTCTGACTGGTGTGAAGCCTTCGAAATAAGTCTCGCTTATAATCTCCGAAGTCGTTGAGCAAGTCCGATCTTTTTTCTGTGATTCGTATCCTCAATTTTCAGGACAAGCATCTTCTAGATTTATCTCGATTGGTTTTTAGTGTCGCAGAGGAGCACAGGGAATCACCGCGAAGCCCCATCCTGTTGTCCTTGTGATCTGCTCGGTGCAGAAGAGAGACTGGCAAGAGCAAGATGGTCGGAGACAGAATCGCGCTGCACAATTGAGCGAATGACACCCCCATCCACCTCCCTCCCACACCTACACGCAAAATCATGAATCAGACCCCCTCGTGGTTGGGGGCTCCTCTGGAGATTAAAATGTGAGTCAAAACGTTTTCGGTTTTTATCTGTGATGTAGTCGCGATTCAAAGTTTTTTATTCGCCATTTGCTACATTTTTCATTTATTTTTTATTTGACTTTTATGCGATCTTTATGTAGTTTTTATTCAGTTTATATCCACTTTTCTCCTTTCAGCCGAAGTGCAACGTATTAGCCTGCGAAGAAACAGAAAAAGCCGACTTTTTTACATTGTAGGCCGCTGTGGTGCCTCCTCAGTGCTTTTTTGCTTGATAGGTTCTCCTGTAGTCGGACTGCACAGAGGCAGTCGCGAGCACCAGTGAAGCACGAGACTGCGCTGCGCTGGTTTCTTTGGCAGACGTGTCTTAGTCATTTATTCGAAAATGCCTAGCGACAAGAATGGGTCAGCGGAGCGACAAGAGAAGCTGTCGCGCAGTCCCGAGAAGGAGAGTTGTGCTTCTCGCAGGGCAGCCGACAGTCGCAACGATAATAGCAAGTATGGGCGGATGCGTGGAGCAGCATCAGACCTTTTGCTTCTTCGTGATCCCAACAGTGGCGCACCAGTCGCAGCCGCAGGCGCCACAGATGTAAGTGCGGACGTAGCCTTTGGTCCCCGGATCCAGCTGCAGACGGACGGCTCGGTAGTGTTATTTTTTCCAAAGCAATACGCATCTCTCTATACTTGACTGCTTCGAAGTTCTTTGGTCAGTAGGGTTCGCGATTTTCTGTATGCGGCGACACTGTCATGATCTTACTTGAATTCGTACCGGAGTAGTCTACTCATTGACGAACCAGATTCGATTTCTAACTTCATAAAATAACATGTCGGGCCAAGAGGTGCGGCCCGATTTGGAAACCCTTCGTCCTCTAATCTCTCTGTAGGTCCTTAACCCTGCGGGCCCGAGTTTCAAGCCTAGTCGCGAACTCAGTTCGAGCCAAGAGGAGGTGACAGGGAATTTTTTGAAGAACGATGTCCCCGAACCTTCTTCGAGTGTGCTGGTCTCTGCGCTGCCGGAGCAGGATTCTGACACTCTGGAGGTATTACAAACTCCCGCATGTCGTCCTCTGCTCGGCTCAATATTTCAAAAATATCTTGAGCCATATCTCAGAGATGTCTCAAGAAAAACTTCGCGGGAAGATTTTAAAAAGGTCTTGCCTTTTTCATGAATTGATTGAAATAGACAATAGATAGCGCTTTTTTCATCACTTGAAAGCACAAGATAGACCGTCTCATAGCTTGCAATAAGAATAGATCACGCCACCTCTTTCATGGATTGAGATAGAAAATAGGTCGTGACTCTTTCACAAAATAGATCGCAGCTTTTTCATAAATTGAAATACAGACTAGCTAGCCCCCTTTTCGTCACAGAGTAGGAAAGTTTTAAAATCAGTCGGGCATGCCTTTTTCTTACCATGGGCTTGCGGCTAGTTTATGCTTTCTACGTCTTCACACGTGAGCAGCTCTACCTTTCCCTTGCTGAGGATATAGTTAGATTATAGGCTGCGGGTGTGGTTCTGTCTTATGGTTCTTGTTTTTTATTTTGATTGGGAAAAGTAGCCAGGAAACCATCTCGGACTATCGGGAGAAAGTAGTAGATGGACGTAGTTTGTTTCTGTCCTCCTCTTCTCAGCCTCCTGCTCCTCCTCGACGACGCAGCCGCCCCCATCGCTTCAGCGAGGGCGACGCGATCATCCTCGAATCGATGATCGACATTCGAGTCCGGGATCCACCAGAGCTGGCGCATAAACAAGAACATCCTGACTGGCTCGCAGTGATACTAGAAAAGGAGGCAGTTCTGGACGTGAGCTGCGAGGTGAACAGGATGAGGCAGAAGGAGCGACGGGAAATCGAGCGGCTGAAGCGCTATATGGACAAGACCAACGACGAGAAAGACCCCCTCATACAGGGAAGCGCTAGCGACGAGGAGCTGCTGATGCCGCGCAAGTACACATCTCACTACGTGAAGCCGTCTGGAAAGCGCCAGCAGCGCTCTTCGGTGGATTCGGAGGCCGAAGTGTCTGACTTTGACTCCAGCGAAGTTCAGACTCAGACCCGCGTGAAGGAGACCGTGCCGACGAAGCGCGTCAAGACTAGCAGCAGCCTAGAAATGGGCAGAGATACCTCAGGCGATGCCTGAGGTTTTTTACTTCACTTCAAAATAGACCTATCTCGTGTTCGAGACTACATCTTGCGCACCTAGTCTAAGACGAAGAGAAACTAGATGGAGAAGTAGTCTCGAGCAGAGAAGAAGCAGTAGGAATTTGACGACTGGGCGTATCGCGAGAAAAAACGTTATCATTATCGTTTTTTTGAATTTTTCAGAAAAGCACGACGTGGAGCACTGCGGCCCTAGGGCTTTCCACCTTGCGATGGCCAAGCCGGCCCTCCCTCCGCGAGGCGCCGCAGCAGACGCTGCGCTCCTCCTCCCATTGACGCGGCCCTTCAGTCATGGCTGGGCATCATGGTACCGCTAAGCTCAGAGGCCGCGGCCTCCGCTTACGCCCGCCCATAGGGCAGTAGCGTGGCCTGACCCTGCAAACTTATCCACAAAAGAAGCCCACCATGGGAACCAAGCGCGGCGCACTCGGAAAGCAGCCCCGCTGGCAATCGTTGGGGCGATTCCTGGGGGCAAGCAATATGAAACGCCAAGCCGATCGAGGGGAAGCCGCGGCGCCACTTCGCTCAAGATCCAAGGAGGCGAAGAGCCGACCGAGAGCCGCAGACGCGCGAGCGGCTGAAGGGGTCAGTTGGGGGGGGGTGTTTGAGGGGGGTCCTTGTTTTCAGGGACCCCATTTGATAAGACTTCTGGCGCCCGACAGATAGGCGATAACGCTTCTGGCGCCCGACACTCTTCGCCGAGGCCCAAAAAAACAATCTAAATCATCAGAACCTCGAGGGGCAAGCGGGTGACAGGTGGGCGCCTTTTCTGCTTGCTCGTTATCGTTTTTTTGGCGAGTGTTTGGAGGGGTCGGTGGAGGGGGGCGGCGGACCACCTCCGGCCCGGCTAGAGGACCAGAGCAGCCACAGCAGGAAGGGGGCGCCGAGTCGCTAGAGGTCGGAGAAGGTGGGGCGCCAGAGGTGGCGGAGCGGCCGCAGGCAGCAGGGCTGCGGGCCCTCCCCTGACACTCGGGCCCCAGATTCGCGAGGAGACAGGGAAACAAGCTACACGCATGCGCGTCTGCCATTGCTGGAAGCGCCTCCCGGAGAGCGCAGCACCACCCAGCAGCCAGAGCAGAACAGCAGCCCATGCGGCGCCGCTGTTTTGTTGTCTGAGTCATGGGAAGCGCAGCACACCCACAAACGCGCCAAGAGGAAGCGGCGAATGCTGGCGCCCCTCCATTCTTATGCCCACGCGCACAGCGTCCCACAAATGCCTGGAATTTGTTATCTCAATCTGAAAAAATCAAAAAAACGATAATGATAACACTTTTTCCTGCGATAGGGCGCGAAGGATTTCTACTTCGGCCATGACTTTTCTGCTTGTTATCGATCGTGTTTGACGCTGACGAGTGTGGAGGCAATCCCCTCGAACTTGCTGGACTTTACGCTGCGTCCCTACTGCAGCCGGATTTCCACTTGTGGGCCCTGGTATAGGCTATGCTAGCTCTATCGTTTTAACTTTAAGTATAGAAGCATGTGGCTGCTCTTCTGTGATATTTTGCATATAGAAATAGACGACGTTCATGGATTTCGGGCTTATGGTTTGCTCTAGTCGGCTTGTCCGGCTAGGACTAGACGTGGAGGCGGCGCCTCCTTATCGTAATATATTCAGCGTGCTCAAAGTATGACCTTAACCAGCGACTTCGCCTGGGCTTGGTCTCGATGCCCAGGGAGTCGCTTTTCAATTTCAATCTTCAACTTCATCTCCATCCAAGTCTCCTCCATCTAGTGCTCGTAATCAAACGGCTGAGCATCTCCATGCCAGGTATGCTGCCACTTTGATGCGCGGGCGCGCTCTGAAATTGTGGCCGCTTGCAGTTAGGTGCTGGTCGATGTGATGTCTTGGCGTCTTGGTCGTCATTATTTTCTGCTGCGATGTTGTTGCTTTTGTCCAGATATTCGCTCGCCATTCTGTATTTCCGGCATTGGGGTCGCGCTTACGTGATTCCAAGACGTTGGAGAGGATAGCTGTCGCCATTTATTTCGAGCTGCACTAGGAATTGCGACCAAGCAGAAGCTGTGGCTTCTTCTTGCATTCTGAAGACTGCGATAGTGTTGTTGTCTATTTGTTCTTATCTACGTATAATTTGATGTGCTAACTATGCCGCGCGTGAGCGGTAGTCTATTGGATTTCTTGTAGCATGAATATTCCCAGCATTAGACCCGGTGACTTCGATACTTATGGTTATGGTTTGTTCTGGTTGTTTCGATAGCACAGCGCTACTTTTTGTTCATAAATGAGTGACTGACTGAAACTAGTTAGAACTCCCGTCCCGCTCTCTGGTCTTATTCTGAGTGCAGAAGTTCTTATGTGTTTTGTAGATTTGTAACTGTCGCGTCTGATACATCGTTTTTCAGTATTAGTAGCAAAATTTTACGGCAATCCCCGACCGTTATCCAAATAGTGTGAACAAGTAGGACTAATATAACCTTTCTCATAACATACCTAAATCGATGAGTGAAAGCATTTGATTATGAGCGCCGTGCTGTTGCGTGCGTGCACTGTGTTAGTCGCCAGGTTCTGCAGGGCGGCGACTAGCTGGATATGCCACCGACTTGACATCTTCGACCTTTCACTCCTCAACAAAGTAGCCCATTATCTTTAGAGGTGCAGGCTTCCCATGCCGGAAGCTTTTTCTCCATCATGAGGACGATGAACCTCAGAAGTCAACCTTCGCAGAAAACACTTGCTAAAGCCTGAATTTTGTCCATTTGCCCTAGCCTTTGAATTGTTCCCCAGACCCTGCTCCTTGTGGTTAAGATGCTCTTCTTGAAGAATATCCGGATCGGCATCCATCTCTTATGTGCTCACTTTTTTAAGAAACATATGAACGCCCATTGCTGGGCAGATGCACTCCCCTGGAAATACTTGCAATTCCAGAGAAAAGCACTACACCAGGCGCGGCTGAGTTTGAATTCTTCAAAGCTGGGTCCTGTATTGTGGAAGAGCGCCCCGGAGTGAGAGTCCCTCGCCCTCTCCTTGGCCTTTCATTAGAGCAAGGCCCGACTTGCAAATGTCATTTCCCTCCACTTAGAGCACCTCCCCGACATGTGATGTGGATGTCTACCAGATGAGAGAGGAGGAGAACTTGTGGCAAGCCTTCAGCTTTCAAGGGGTAAGGCGAGGAATGAGGGGCAGAGAGAAAAATATGGATTATTTGGCTTTACACAACAGGACACTTCGGGAAAGACTTCTGCGTCATTAGGTGTGCTAGGGCTTTCGTGTTCATTTTGTAACCTTTCTTTGGGGGTCCGATATTGTGGTAGTATTTCTAGTTTCGTAAATATCTCAGCAGCTACCTGTGGAGCTACGTGCTCGGTGTAATTCCACTGAAAAACTACGCTCGTCGTCTTTCTTCTTCTCCCTTCATTCATCATGTAAACCGGCCTTGCCTTCTCGTTTCTAGTCGATGTGTATAGTGTGTGTTGAGTCCTGTCAGTTGAACTGGATATCCGTCAAAGCTTAAGGAATCGCATTGAAAAAAAAAATGCCTCTTTTCGCAGAGTCCCGCGTGAGCCGCAACTTGCGGGCAAACCAGAGTCCGAACCCGATTGCGCGATTGGATTTCAGCACGCCGATGCTCCATAGATCCTCCGCTGTCTACCCGGCGGATGTCGCGAAGGACTGCGGAGACTGGCGATCTCACTCCATCGCGTTCAAGCCTGCTAAGCCCAGCAAGGCCAGGCTGGCACGCGCTCCCTTGCGTGAAGCGCTGCAGCGTTTGGAGGCCCGAGCATATGAGGACAAAGCATTTCTTATCTATTTCTACTACTACTAGCACATGGAGAGAGCGGGGCTCAGTAGCATTATCGGGGTGGATAGGGATACACTTTTGGGGATCATTTTGAATGCTACTGAGTACTCCTTTCTCCAATTCGTCTTTCGTCTATAGCTGAAGATCTTCGATGATCTTCGCTCTTCGAACCGAACGTGGATAGTCTTGCGCACTACGTGGCGAACCTTCGCTTTTGTTGTGGTGATCTTCAATGCTAACAACTACCTCCTTACGACCCTGATTTATGACTGTTTGCCCCCGTCATACTCACAGATCGCCGAACGCCGCGCCCGGAAGATCCAACCTGTTGACTACTTTTCCTCCCACATCAAATCCCGGTCGCCTGTGAGGGCGCAGAGCCTACTGATGCCGCATGTCCCGAAAATATCGCCTCCACGTAGGGCCTCGCTTGTGGCGCCACCTGCTCCTGCACATGAACTCGGACCGGTATCCGTGAATCAGTGTGAGGCACTAGAACTAGATGCCGGCGCTTCGGTTCCAACTGCTCCTGCTTCAAGTCCAAGAGCTTCCAGTCCCAACAGTCTGGGTTTGATAAGCGAGATTCAAGCTCCAGCACTCGACTGCGCGGTAACGTGCGACACCTCCAGCACTCTCCTACATGATAATGGTGATGACTACAGTATGACTACAAGTGGAGCAGAAAGCTCTTCAAACGTGGCCAGCAACACGACGGAAGTTTCCACTGGTGGGCGTTCCTTCATTTTGTAGCAGTCTCTTTCCACCCCTTTTGTTGTTGTTGTCCACATGCTGTGACCATTCTCAGTCCTTTAGCTTTTTCAGCGGTCATTTATGAACTTCAACAGTATTCACCGGGTGTTCTTGTACAGTGACGTCATCTGGTGGAATTGATGGGGCTTACTACTCCGTCTAGAACCTGGGTGAGTATCACGCTTCAAAACCAACCTTGTGAATTATTCAACACAACTACAAACTCACGTCTTTTCTTTTCGCAATTTCCTGTCTCACCGTAACGAAACCGACTCAACAGGTCAGGTTTCCACGCCAGCAGTAAGGCCGCATCTCCTACGAGCCAGGTGGCTAGCGAATCTGTCAACGCCTCTCCCGAGGAGACGCCTCCTTCTGTCGTCTATGATCGACAGCGAAAGCGACAGCGAGATGAGGCCGGGAGCGTCTTTGCCTCAGCTCTCCCCAGTGGTTTGGAGCTCTCCTGGGAGCATGTCGGCGACGATTTCACCGACGTCGAATATGTGAATCAGTCATCCTCTTTGTACCAAAGAAGGGTGACAGACTATCGCCACAGCATGCAGCAGGAAATAAGAGACGAGGAGCCTGCCATGAAACGAATAAGATTCATGGAGGCCGAGCTCAAGCGCCGAAAAGATACTGCATCTGTGTGGCGAAAACGTTTGTACAGGTTACGCACAGCTGAAAAGGAAAACTAGCAATTGAAGCTCATGTCTAGAACGTTGTAATTTAGCGAAATTGACGACCTCTCCATCACATGCATCATCTCACTCAGTTCCATCTGCATAAGAATGCTCTTAAAGTACGTAACCTACGAGCCCGAGACATAAAGACGCCTTCCCCCTCAACTTGTTGCATAGTCTATAATCGGTCATCTGCTCCATTTTTACTCAATCACGCATGCATTAGCAAAATTTTTTCGACATAGATGAATGGTCCACATTTTTCCAAGGTTAGAGTCCCCACTAGTCTGCTGCTCGTTAAAATGCACAACGCAGCATCTCTTCCCGACTCTCAGGCATCATTGAATTCATGACGCAGCCGCAGCCCGTGGCTGCAAACCTATTGGTCCTCCCTTTCGCCCGTATTTCCTTAACCCATCCTCACCGACATGGAAGCTTCTGCCTTGTTCCCAGAGAGAACCTCCCCAACCACCTCGACGTCTTAAAAAATAACTTCACCCACAGTCCCTATGAACTTTGAGGACTGCTGCCACGCGAGCAAGTGAGCAAATAGCTGACGGCTTCCTTGTCATATTTCCGTGCAGCATCGTACTCTGAGCCCTCGCGTGTTTATCGAGTGGGACTGGGATGCGCAAGGCGTGCGAGCTTTGCGCGAGCTGGTAACCGCCTTTCTCCTATAGTGCGTTCTTCTGCGTTTGATGAGCGTCTTGAGGAAGAAGCCACCAATCTGAGCTATGTCGCCATGCTGAAAAGAAGTGCTGAAGTTCCCAGTCCCAACTTGCTCCTTGATTGGTCTTTTCTTGCTTCTCAGAGTGAGTATCTCTCCGCTGGTGCAGACTCCTAATCGATATATGGGAGGTCTTCTGGTAAGAAAATCTGTAAGATCCCAAGTTCGTAACTCGTCCCCGGAGCGTATCTCATCGCTTCAGAGTGATGATCTAGGTCAAATATTCACCTCAGCCTGTGTGTGGTTGAGCCACAGGAGCCCTCTCATCTAGTGGGCCTTCTTAGATTTTGCTTTTTGTTGATGTATTTATTTTGAGATTGATGAATAAGTCCTCTTGCTGCTCTTTCAGTATGACTCTCAATTCTTCCTATTATGCTTTTTGTGTTTCTGCTACTCTTTTCGTTTTTCTTCCCTTGTATATTGAAGAGCGAGCATTCTGCTGAGATCCATAGACTTGACGCTGATGCAGCAAACTTAAGCACTCTGGTTCACTGAGGTTGGATTTTATTGATTTGTAGTGTTGGGGTGCCACACGGTGTGGCGCGACGCTATCGCAGCTTTTAGATTTCTGAAGTTTAGTGTTGATTTGTTGCTTCTCTAGTCTGCTCTTGTTGTATTCCCACGTGTCTTCTTTTTAGTGCTACTTTGTGTTTCTTCTCTTGTAGGTCGAGGTGAGTCTGATAATTCAAGGTCTCTACGAAGCTTAGTTCTAGCTTCGTACTTCTAAAGGTTGGACTTTATAGATCTTTAGCTTCGGGCTGCCACATGGTGTGGCGCGACGATATTCTAACTTTTAGAATTCGGGTTTTGAACAGAGATGAGCATCTACTACTAGACTCTCCTTGCTGTATTCATTCGCGTTTTCTTGTATATTATCCTCTTTGTGAATGGTTGCCTTCGACTGCTTGGCTTTTTGAGAAGTAAGAGCAATTCCCAACTCAGCAGTGTTATAGTCTACTACTAGAAAAGCCGCCACGTTCATCGGATGGACGTGTAGTCTAGTTTATTGAGTAATCGAAGCTAGCAACTTTTCTAGAAACGTGAAAGAGAAAAAGATGCCGAAGAAGTTCTCAATCCAGGCGAGGAAGAAGTTCGAGGATGAACTTCAAGCCAAGACGATTGCCAGCACCGCAAAGGTCGTGTTTGAGCGATGCTCGATTCGTAATGCCGATTCTCCGGCACGCGACCGCACGCTCTCGCAGAAGCACAAGATGTTAAAAGACCTGATGGTCTTTCGCATGGCTGTCGGGCCGGCTCGCCTGGTCAGTGAGATCTCGAAAAAGAAATGTGAGCTCGCTCGTTTGCTCTTTGAGGAGCGTTGGGATCACGATGGTAATGATTCCTTATAACAGTGTGGAGGTAGCAAGTCTAGTTGTCTTATTCCCATTGCGTATGGACTTCGTGTGATCGTAGAGAAGAACTTACACCCAAAGCTCCTCCTTATAACTGACACACCTACCCCATCAGACATCACTTACGAAGCGAAGACGAAGTCTCAAGCAAAGGAATTTTTTCAGTATGTGGAGGATACTTGCCACGTCATGGTCGAGAAGGAGCAGTGGGACAGACTAACGGTATAGCGTTTGATAGGACTGGGCTTTTTTGTGAAGCTGCAGTGCCATGGTGCCACACGGTGTGGCACGGCGAGAAACTGAGGTGCAGGGGCAGCTCTTTTCTGATGATATATCTTGATCATCGTCAGGCAGGACGGTGTCAGAACAATCTCGCTCTTTCTCCTGCTATGCTTGTCTAGGTTTCAGAGTGCAGCTATCCTTCGCCAAGAATCTTCTCTCCCACTAAAAACGCTGCAGACTCGACGCCCCCGTCTCTAATCTGGATCTGAAATCCCAGGTACCAGGAGAATCGCGACTGAAAGCAGTCGTCGACCCGATGTTGTCTGAGGAACTCGTTCAAAATATTAAGCTGAAGGCCCCTCCGGCTGCAGAAGGCACTCTCGATATCTGGGCTGGGCATGTTGCGATTGCTACGCATCGCAGAGAAGCGAAGAAAAAAGCTACCTGGAAAGGTCACGCGAAGGTATTACTCTTTGTAGCAGATGAAGTTCAAGCTGTTGAAGAACTGTAGCTATGCTAGCAGGAGGCTACTCTAAGAAGCTTGTGCTTGGTATGATGAAATCCCAGACGTGTGCCTTCCCAAACTAGGACTCAAATTTTTTGGGTTTTTCTCGTCAGTCAAGCTATGCGCCACTGCGTCGACCTTCTTCATCACGATGAAATATATCTCCTGTCTCCGCCAATCAAACCAACAGCACAGGTTCGAGGCTCGTGCTGCGACTGCCGTGCGTGCTCTGCTTCAGTCATCAGTTTTCCACTCCACTTGCAACTAATCACCTTCATCTTTATCGAGTAGCACAAGAAAACCCCCCTTGATCTGCTCCAGGTTTGGAAAACGCAGGGCTGGCTGGCTGAGATTAATTTCGGGTCTGAGTTTTGGCGTGCGAAGATGCTGGCTTTGAAAAACGACCAGGACGTCTTGGATCTCTATGTTAGCCTCACGCAATCCCGCCAGTTCATGTTCCCCCGTCTCGAGAAAAAATTTCCTTTGGAAATTTTCGACGTGAATACAGCGACGGTTCTGGTAACGATTCAGCTGGACGAGGAGGAGAAGCTGATTTCTCTGACAGCGCCTTTGCCGACGAAGCCCAATTCGCTCGCCAAGGTGTCGGCCAAGAATAAGCAAAATACTTCTTCTTCTAGCAGTTCTTCTTCTTCTGCTGATAATCAGAATTTGGCCGCTATCACTAGCACACGGGTCCCGCCAATGGTTCCCGTTGTGTGCGTGCGTGAAAGACTCTCCGCTAAGAAAAAGAAGGAGGTGGGCCCCAAAGTAGCACAGTTGTGCAACAAGCAGCACTTGTACAGCTTCTTGATCGAGCGTGTCGGGGATGAGCAAGTCTCTGCTTTGCGCAAGTACAAGATCGCCGCAGCTCAGAAGAAGGCCAATAAGCGCATTGAGGCTGCTCGTCGCAAAGCCTTCCCGAGCAATGCCAACACCTCTTCCACCGAAGGGTCCACTTCTACGATCAAGAATGCTTCCTCCTCCTCCTCCTCCACCTCGGGTTCCAGCAGTAGCTCTGGTTCTTCTTCGACGTCGTCGGCGCTGTCTAGCCTTCTGGGAGGAAATGCTTGCGGGAACACGAAGGAAGCTGAATCTAATCAAGCCGTCGCGAAGAGTACCCCAGGACAATCTACTACTTCTACGTCTACGAGTGCTCAAGCTGGTGCATCTACCACTACTGCCAGGGCAATCCTACAGACTCCGTCCGCCTCTGACGGAAAGAGCGGCTTCGCCGAGGATGTAACCATGGCCACCCCCGGCACGGACGGTTTCGCCGTCGGCGCTAGCGCTACGGCTGCTGGTGTCCAGAAGCGCTCCTACGCAGAACGCCATGCTAATGCGGCTGAGCCGACGCCTTCCCCTTTCGCGAAAGTGTATTCTTTTAGAATTTGGAAGTGCGTAGGCTTCGAGGGCCCACATCGCAATAGGTGACTGATGTGGGTCTATCAATGAATTTAGAAGCGAACCTTGTGGCTCTTTCAGCCCTGAGATCTATGTCAAAAATCTGAGAAAAGAAGAAGAACTACTAGCGTGGAACTCTTCACCTTGAACGTCAAATATTCCTTCGCCTCAGCTCTTACCTGCGTCAATCGATGTTGCATTTACAGGCTCAATACCGGCGAAGGAACTGGACCGCACACGGAGGCCTCGCAGCCTCAGTCGTCTCCTTTGCGAGCGGAGAACCGTATTGGAGATGGGCAGGCGACTATTCCGGGTAGCTGGATCCATGTCAACTTGAACAACACTGGTGGGAAACTGTTTACCTGCCAGCAGAAGGTGACTACTTTTCTTGCTTTGGTATTTCTTTGGCTTTCAGTTTGATCTGTATTCATTTCCCATGGAAACTACTAACAGAGTCCTCCTTCAAGTGTTGACGTGAAGGAGTAAGGAGGGCCTTGTCCTTATGGTATTTGGATGCTCATTGATACCAGGACGAAGAAGCAGGGTAGTCATTTCAACACATCATGTTTCGCCGCTGAATATGATGGTGCCCCACTTTACTCCTTCTCGGCATCACGCCGGAGCACATGTTGGCAGTCTCTGAATTCTTCTTACTCGTGCAGGCTCCCTCTATGAAAAAGATTCTGACCCTTTTCAAAATTGTTGAAGACGGCAAACTAGCAGACAACGAACTCTACAACACTCTTAGATAGATTCGCGGTAGCCTACAGCTACCACCGCCGTGGAGCAGGTTAGTCACTATATGAAGAAATCCATCCCCTCTTCCAGGCACTCCTGAATGCTTGCGTCAAGGCTTACGATTTGCGTATGGCGAAGTTTTGGCAGTTGTTGTACATAGCCGGCATTCGTGTTGCTGACGCATTTGACTGCCGTACGCTCGAGCGAATCTCCAACTACCGTGTTACTGTGGCGTTTATGCGAGCGCATGCTGGGCAGGCGGATTTTTTACTTCATCTTGCTGCAGTCGATCTTGACCAGATCAAAGAGGGCTTCTTTGACCTCTCGGCGTTCGGCTGGGCTGACCAGCAAGAAGATGTGGTGGAGACGCTGTCTGGTGTCTCTGTGAAGCGCGGACTGAAAGGGCTGCCGCTGGTCATCGGCGCCCTCGCCACCAAGCACAGCCTTCCGTTACTGAAGTGGCAGTATGACCCGAAGTCAGCACATACGAGGTTCGTCAGCGCGTTGACGTCTTTGACGGATTTGGCGTGCGGGGTACCGTTAAGTCTTTCTTTCGTTCGTGGCTATTTTCCAGGGGTTGCTTCTGACTCCTTGTCCTTGCACTTGGGGTCCGTTTTCGTCAAACCTTTCTCAGCATTAT